GCAGGGGTCCCAGGAGGGGGCAGTCAGGGGACAAGGAGCGGAGGGAGGGTTGGGGGTTCTGAGGGGGGGAAGTGGGAGGGGCAGGGGCGGGGCTAGGGCAGGATGGGGCGGGGCTAGGGCAGGACAGGGGCGGGGCTCCTCCCGTCCTCTTTTTTGCTTGCTGGATTATGGTAACCCTATGCAAAGTGATTCTAAAAGCAGTTTCTAGCCATGTAGGCAATCGTCTCCAAAGATAAAAATGTAATATCTACCCAGGGGATTGAAATATCTACAAAGTAATATCTACCCAGAGGTTGGATTTTCCCCTACTTCCCCACTGTCCTGGGTTACAAATTAACTCCCAAACCAATGTAAGTTACTCATAGTTTGTGGGGCACAGGACGAGAGGGACAAACCAAGCCTCTGGCTGGTTGAATTCAACAAGATGTAAAAATGATTTACAGACTTTCTTAAACACTGTGTCTCTCTCCCCTTTCCTTACTTCCCCTCCAAACTGACATCTGGGGTTTGGTTCTGCTTTCACGCTGGTGTAAATCAGGAGTAATTCAGTAGCATTCCACTAGTGAAAAGCTAGCATAACTGAGATCAGGATAAGCTCATGGCTATTTTGCCCAGTAGTTCTAACCCAACACCGTTTGACCATGAAACTAATTTACCAGCTGAGGACTCAATCCTGCAAATATTGAGCTTCTGTTGATGTAAATAGGAGGTTTATCAATTATGCAACTGAAATCTGCAGTGTGGTCAGAAACCAGTATTTTACCCAACATAGCTAAGTCCTAATAATGAGGATGTCCACCTAAAAACTGGTGATATGATATGGTCCAAGATTTGCAAACCTATGTCCTGACTCAAGAAACAATTTAAAGTCACAGACTCATCAATTTTTAAGGCTACAAGGGACCATTATGATCTTCTAGTCTGACCTCCTGAATAACAGAAGCTAGACAATCTCATCCAGTAAACACAGGCTTATGTCCCATTGAGCTCAATGGGAGTTAAGCACATGCTTAAGTGTTTTCCTGACTCAGGGCTCTAGTGAGCTGGGAAAGTGTAAGCAAATTTGCTCCCACAAAAAATCCAGAGTCAATAAAAATTCAGCTTGGCTTCCATGCTGCACATCATGTCCTGAAAGGCCAGTGGACTGGGGTTTGTTTGGGATCACACAGCACAAACAAGGGGAAGAAGTTTGTTAAATTGGCCCCAAACCTTTTGTTACTCAAGTCCTTCCTGCCTGTTCAGACATGCCTGCTTTGAGATTTGCTTTATGACTAATCCTACCAGGTAAGTCTGTCTGCCTTTCATCACATCCATTGTCTTTTTAATGCACCCATCATCACAGCATTTAGATGCCCTGCACACCCGTTAAGAAAGGCTGAGATGGATGCAGACGTTGAACAGCCACCCTGTGCATAATTTTCTTAATCCTGTTGCTTTATCTCCAGGGCCACTTCTGCAGTCACTGATCTTTGAGGAGTCCTTGTGGCACCTTAAGAGACTAACACATTTATTTGGGCATAAGCTTTCATGGGCTAAAAGTGGGTTTTAGCCCACGAAAGCTTATACCCAAATAAATGTGTTAGTCTCTTAAGGTGCCACAAGGACTCCTCATAGTTTTTGCTGATACAGACTAACACGGCTACCCCTCTGAAACCTGATCTTTGAGGGAGGCCTTTGCAGAGATGGAGGTGGCAAAACTTGGGCTCATCCTATCTCCAGTAATATGATGTGCCATAGCGGATGCTGACCAACCCCACTCTCTAGGAGTCTCTCCTTACTCTTTGCCAACTGACACTCCCATGGAGATCACAGCAGATATCTTAGGTCAGGGAGAGAGCTGTGTTCTTCTCTGAGAGACACCTTTGTTGTGTACTACTTCCACGTGCTCCCCTACCTGCACAGCCCCTTCCCACGCCATGTGGATTGCAGTCAGTGCTGCAGAGAAAGGGAACACGCTGGAGGTGGGAAGGAGCAGTGTCGGGGAAAGGTGATGATGTTTTGCATGTGATCACCATAAAGGGGATGCTGCAATTATTTTCCAAGGGCTAGAAATCAACCCTACCACATCAAACAACAATAACCAACTCCCATATATATACAATAGAATACAATGCTCCCCAAAAGGTAACTGTACAAAAATGTATCCTATGCTCAAAGCAGCATCTCAGGTCACTAGTTCATCTCTGTGACTGGCAATGTCGTGACATACCAGGCAGAACAGACCCTTCCTAGCCCCCCCTACAGACAGATATGCAAATCCACCCTGGATTTCTTAAGTAACACCATTCTGCAGTAGCCCAGAGCTCCTAGCCATGCTCAGGACTTTCCCCTGTGCACGGCAGTAAATATTAGTCATGCGTCTGAGCCATTAAATCTGGGTCTGGGTGCAAACTTCTTCAAAGTTTGTGCGGGAAGGGAATGCTCAGCTACCTAGCTTTAGTTCTGACCTGCCTCAATTCAAAGCACATATTTGGAGCCAAATTCAGGGAGCCAGTCCCCAGCCGGAGTAGCTGACTGTATATTCTGTGTCTCCGCAGGAAACTAGGGAAAAGGAATCCTCCTGCCCGGAGGCCCTGGGACTGCTCCAGGGAGGCTGTTTCAACCCAAGGGATGAAGCCAACCTCCACAGGCCCAACCTGCCACTGCTGCCGAGGATTTGTGTAGAAGATCTGTGTAGCATCAGATTGTCTAACTTTTTATGTCCTCCTGCCCAATTCCTGAGAACTGCCATGCCAGCAGCCTCTCTGGAGCTGGGGTCTGGTCCAGGGCACACCCTGTGCGACTCCTCCCAGATCCAGTCCCTGGCCCTTTGTTCACCAGAACTACACTGGCTTCATGACTAGTGTGGATTCTGCAGCTGTAGAAGCAATGGCTGGATTTGTCCCAGAATGCCAGACTCAGCATCAGCAAATATTAACCTGCTTTAAAATTCACCAAAGTACATTTATTGAAATGATAACACTTGCTACCAGCCTAAGTGGCATGAACACAAACCAAGAGAGTATTCTGAAGGGGACAAGGTTCAGTTTTTACTCCCAGGAGATGCACTTAAACTCTCGGTAACTTTCCTTATGAAATGTATTTAATACATAGATGCATGTGGCACAGAAATGTACCACTTTGTGCTTGGCAGTATTATGGAACTTCATGTTTTATAAATCTATAAATTGAATTCATCCTGGTTACACCCATAGCCTTATAAATTGCTAGGCAAAGAACAGCTAATGGATCAGCTGGTAATTTATTTGTAAAAGATGCATACTGCAGCATTTTGGCAACACTAAGGGGCGTGGGTACGGAGTGTTCCCATCTCAATGCATGGACCTGAAGTAATGGGAAATTACCTTTGTATATCCTCACACACTGACACTCAAGTAATGTAATTCTTTAGAGAGGTCCTGCCAGGCAGAAAGATAAAGATTGGGCTTTACACAGAGATCTGCTGCAAAAGCAACTGCACACAGAGAATGGGTGGGGCACTCAGTAATAGTGCCAGGTAATGTATAATGCAAAAGGACATGTAGAACTAATTTATTAGTATAAATTTGAATCTAAAAAAATGCATGCAAAGTACATCTGAAAGGGCCAACTCTTGTTTGCCTTACTCCTATGAGTAAACCCACTGACTGCAATAGGACTAGCTGCTAGAGTAAAGAGAGCAGGCTTTGACTCAAAATCATGCAAAATATTCAGTTAAGGAACCAATACTGCACCTGTTCCTCCCCATCAAAGTCAGCGGGGTTAACCGCATGAGTGCAGAGAGGCAGGATTTGGCTTTTCATGGGAGCAAGCCCTTTAACCTGAAAAATCCACTTTTGTCCTTCACTCCACATTTAAACAAAGAGACTCTTTACCTTTCAGAGAAGCGACGTGTGATAAAGCTTGAGCATAGGTGGCTGTGTTGAGAAGAGTCCCAGGTAGACATGAGGGGAAGAAAGGCCCGGTGGGGCCAACTGATCGGCTTAGGCTGACAGAGAAGAGAAAGTAACTTAGAAAAACAGAATTGTTTGATTCAAGACATCAGTGAGTGTGTGTGTGTACGTTTAGAGAGAGAAATTATTAATGCATTCATTACCCTTACCTCTGCTGAATCTCTAGGCTCTCCTTCTTGTTCCTAGTTTGATCAACTGGAGAGGGGGAATTTAAGTTCCTCACTGGGGGTGCCACCTCAGCCATTGTTTCTTTAGAGCCTTCCTGGTCTGATGCGCCTCGTTCCGTCTTCCTCCATTTAGCCCTTCGATTTTGGAACCATACCTAAAAGAGGAGAGAAATCAATGATGAATGCCCTGTTTAACCAGACACGAAGCAATAAAGCTGCCTGTGAATTACTATTTCAGTAGAGACAGTTGTCTGAAGCTTGCCGAAAACTTCTCCTTTTCTCTTGTGGAACAATCAAGTGTGTCCTCAGCAGGATTTTTGCTAAGCCCTTACAAGCACAGTTACTTTTGTCTCTGAAAACCAAACTGTGTTTAAAAGCACTCAATAGGAATATTTTTAATGACAATTTTCTTCAATAGTAAGGCCCCAATCCAACACAGTGCCCCTACTGACCAACACCCATCAGCAAGTGTTTAACTTTAATTTCCACTGACTTATTTGGGATTTAAGCATGTAACTAAAATTAAGCGCATGCCAAAGTGTGGGATAGATGCACATAAGGACTTGTCTAAGTGCTTAGATGATTTCAGACCTAAGTCCTTACTAAGTTTCAGTTAGGATCAAATAAGTCAGACATGAAAAGGCCCATGAGAGGTCATTTTCTCCATCCAGTTTTTAGTGATGGGATGTTGCCTACAGTATATTCTCTGGCATTGTTGCCTACAGTAAATGTCTCAAGGGATGGTAGATTATCTGTTAGATTCCAGTCTAACAGATCTCACTGTCTGAAACTTTTTCCTGACATTCAGCTTAAACATTCATGTTCTTAATTTCATTCCATTATTCCTAGTTCTCCCCTCCCATCCCCATATCATTCTTCTTCCCCCTTGGTGTTTACATCCTTCAAATAGTTAGGCAGGTTGAAAATGCTGAAAACCCCCCTTGAGCCATGGGGCAGGAAATGCACCTCATGATCACAGAATGGCCAGCATTGTTATTATAATTATTATTCTCCTACAACTTCATTTTTATTTAGCTAGCTTTTAATTGCATGTATCAGCAAACGTTGAATAATGATTTTATCTATATTCTAAATTTAGGGCAGTTAAATGCAAAGCAAAATGCAGACACTTTCTTGCGTCTTAATTGAATGAAGGTCACAGCTATAACAACATTTAATTGAGCTATTTTTCATTATCATATTTTAATGACTTTGCACTGACAGTTGCCTGCTTCTGAGGAAAGAGCATGATGAAGTCGTTTATTTCCCTATTTAGTTATTGTTTGACAACATCATCTTCGATTAAGACTCTGCTTTATAGCACATTAATCATATTTGAATGAGCAAGGGGTATAAATGTAAACATATCTCCCATCCTCTGTGTTTCCCCATGTCCCTGCATGAAAGCAGACTAAACAAATGCTTGCATCTATTGTCTGTTTGCATAATAGCCAACAACAAGGCTAAACACCAGTCCTCAGCAATCTAATTGTCACCACCCCTATCTCACCCTTGCACCTTCCAGAGAGAAGTTATGATCTTCCACTTCTGAATGCTCGATAATTGTCCCATTTATCTCAATTTGCAGTTCAGTCTTTAGGCACCAATAGCCAAAATGGCATTATTTAAACAAAAAAGCAAAAAAAGACAGCACCTACAATGCACTGGCAAAAGGAGATTTTCATTTCCAAATAATAATCAGTTTAATTTGCCTGTATATGACCAATGATTCATGTTCAGATTTAATAATCAGGATCGCATAATCTGATTATAGGAGAAATAATTTGTTTACAATCCCCTATTTACTGCGGTGAATTCCATTATCGCTCTTCAGCCATTGGGTTTTAAGAGATACTAACATGACCCTAGGGAACAAAAGGCAAGCTATTATATTTCCTACAATTAGATCTTTGCATAGTCTTAACCCCGAGCACCTACATTGGGGGAAAAACAGCATGCAGAAAAGCTCCATAAATAAAATGAATACATAATTGTGCTCAAAGAATGGCTTGAAAACCAGCGGTGGATGCTTGCAAAGCTATATGCATCCATCTCATGCGACTGCAGGACTGCAGCTCTCAGCAGAGTTTGAAAACACTTAAATAAAGTTAATCTATGGATCTGGGGAATTTTTTTAAGAAGTGGTGTTTGTGGGCAGCGCTAATTATGGGATCAAATTAAAGGTGTTTAAATAGTATTGCAAGCTTTTTAATCCACCTAAATGCAGCATTTGGAAAGTAGTGGAAGGGGAGGAAAGTTAAAGTGATGCAGAAGGGTTTCTATTCTGGCAACTGGACTCCTGCAATTGACTAGCCCCGTTGCTTGGTAGTGGTCATAGCTGCTTTGGAGAATCACGTCTCAGCTCTTTTTTTATTTTTTCCAAAGCAAGGAAATGGATGTGCATTGATGTAATTTAGTACCTTAGAGACGCGGACAAATTAGTGTAGAACATTATCACTAGTTAATTATGAATGACCGATTAATCAACCTAATCTAATATTCCACATTATGTTGATGTTATTAAAGTGCATCATGAAAATGACAGATCGTCTTCATTTGCTTTCTTTGGCCAAATGTGCACTCTGCAATCATGATGTCAAAAGGGAAAAAAAAAGTTTGCCAGTTTTAATATCAGAGTTAAATAATTCACCAGAATGTTTACCTGCACCCTGGCTTCTGTGAGGTTGATTTTCATGGCCAGCTCTTCTCTAGTGAACACATCGGGGTAGTGGGTTTGAGCAAAAACTGCTTCCAGTGCCTCCAGCTGGTTAAAGGACGAGAGGAAATATCTATCAAGAGGAGGGGTTTGGGTTTGCTGGGGTTTATCCAGGCTGGTAAAGGGGGGATCTCTGGATGCTGTGTTCCCCACAGCACAGCCCCAGGGCAGACTGAGCCAGGCCGGTCAGGCTGTACCTTGCGGGCTGTAGGCAGCACGCTCTGGCTCAGCTGGATCCGAGGGGCTTTCTGCGCTCTGCGGGGAGGGGCAGAGGTGAGCCTGTAGGGACAGGGAAGGGAAGGAGGCGCCCGTACCTGCTGCAGGGTGAACGTGGTTCTGTTTCTGCGTTGTTTCCTGCGTAAGAAGCCATCGTCAAAGTCTCCCGTGGAGTGGCCTCCGAAGGGGGCAGAACCTATGGGGGCAAGGGACAGGGCAGTGCCTGAGGAATGCGTGGGGCTCTGCGTAGGTTCCTGCTAGGAACCCGGCACTGCCTGCACCCTGCAGCGCGCGGTTCCCCCTGACCAGTTCTCCCCTGTGGCCCGGACTCGGACCTCGGGGCGGTGTAAATCCGGAGTCACTCCATTGAAGTCACCCCGGATTCACATCAGTCTGGCTGAGATCTCCAGCGGGCCCTATGTCCACTTTACCTGTCCAATCCCAAAAATACAATAAAATGTACCAAACTATAAATATCCCCTAAACCTCTCCATTTACCCAGCGCCAAGTGTCTGACTGCAAGGCGCAGAGGTGCTGGAAGCGGACATTCTGCTCTGAACTTCTGTTCCTGAGCGTGTGAGGGCCGTGGTGCAATCAATCCATTTCACAACAGGACTCTCCGCTGAAGTCAAGGGGCGCTGCTACGGAAACCCAGATGGCAGCACAAGAGCCAGCCAGGGTGACCACTTTGGGCATAGCGAGAAGGAACAGAGGGTGCCTGCTTTCAGGCACTCAACTCCTTACATCTGTGTTTTGTGGTTTATGTCCCCTTATTGGATGGATGGATGGATGGATGGATGGAAGAAAGAAAGAAAGAAAGAAAGAAAGAAAGAAACCTATATTGAAGCGGTTTGGACTCAGAGGGGGACAGAATAGATGGTTATTGTTGTTCTGTAACTTGGGGCAGGTAGCTATTTAGGGTATTTACAAATACATATTAAGTCCGAACTCTATCAGCGCATCAGTTTCATTATGATTAAATTAACTTCTCGCATTATCAACTGCATATTATTTACCTGAAAGCCTCCAGCCTGACATATAAATGTGTATTCATTTCCTGATCAACCACAATGGCTATGATCTATAGTGTAAATAGAAGTAACCACTTATAGCATGAATCTGAATTAACAAGTGAACTTTTCACCTGACGGACTGCATTCATTCCCTTCGATAATTTATGCTAGCGATTCAGTGGTATGTGTTTCTAAAAGATCGGCGAAACAGTTGCATGCGTGCATAGCAGCTAACTCGTAAATATTCACATTCTGTCCATTCACAATTATAAAAAGAATAAAACAAGAGCCTGTTCCATACATTATGGATGATTGAATTGCAAATGTACCTTTTATAAACAAACCAGGTATTTTAAAAATTAGAATAGTATTTGAAAAGTCCCAGATCAGTGCATTTCTGTTTGTTAAACAGCAAAACTTATTTTGTTTGAATGTTTAGAAACACTCACCCGCAAGCACTCAAAGTCACCCTAGAGCTAATGCTTTGCTTACTAACCTCTACCCCCGAAAGCCGAATGATGTGTTGAACACAGGAGTTTATGGTTGTACAGCTCCTAGCACAATGGGCTCCTGGTCCATTATCTAGGCTCCTAGGCGCTACCGCACTAGAAATAAATTATAATAAAAGAAATCCCAGCAGTCTATAGAAACTATGAAGAGCGAGAAAATGCACCCTTTACTGCCTGTGTGATACTGATCTTAGACAGACGTTGCATTAGGGCAATATGTAGTACTGTAAAATCAGCTCCTGTCCATTCTTGTACAAGGATTTTCTAACAGAAGCAATGACGGCCCTTTCATGTTTCAGATCAAACCCGGGTGTTAAACAGAGGAAATGCCCCTTTTGTTGAGAGCTGGCGGTAGGGAGACAAACAGTCTAGATTTTAAATAATGCAGTCGCCCTCACTTCAAGTATAACCTTTTTTGTGTTTATGGCCCACGGAGTTAGTACTATTTAAATCTGGTTTTTATACTTCTTTTCCTTTCCCTTCAGTAACAACAAAGGAGCAATCAAGAGTTATTTGATCAGATGGCCCCTTTCCCAGCGAAATGTTTCTTTTCTGCTATTTTATGCATATTTTACACACGATATTGTTCTGAATGGTACTTGTTCAGAATTCACTAAACAAATTATTTAAAAATAATACGATTAATTAGTTGAATGGCATGTTGGTATTATATGCACTACATGTAATGAGTTGCATGTTGAATACCTGTATATGGCATGTCTTTAGGGTTCTGTATTATATGTCATCTGGCACGTGTAAATTGATAAGGAGCTGTTATAATGTGCGATAAGGAGGTGTTTTCATCTATCCTGGGCGTGCATTTTGCATGTGTATTAATTTTGGAAATAAGAATTAACTCATAAACTAATCTTTAGATACTTATAGAAAGTGGATTTTGACCCGGGGGAATGCTCTGAAAGAGGATCTATTTAAAAAAATAATTGATAGATTAATAACCGGGGGGTATCGTGTCAGTTTCTCTACTGCACATACAGACCGAATCTGCATGTCAGCAAATCACGATGTGTGGAAAGTTTCTCACTCCTCGTGCACAGTGGCTAATAATTTAGTATCTCAGCCAGTTTCCTAAGCAGAGATACGAAGTAGAGAAAAGTGAGTCATTCACTAATCGATTGTCATTTAAAACAAAAATAGTTATGACACTTTTGCGAGTGTGTGGGGGGGGAGGGGGTACTAGAGGAGCATTTTGACCTTTAAAAAGAGAGAGTTTAACTTAAATTGCCAAAATATTTTCCCAAGTTTTTTTTTTTTTTAAAATTACATCCTGGGAAAACTCACGAAGAAAGAATTTATTTTTGAGGCTGTTCCGTAGGAGAGGTGCTGATAGCCTTAACTCCAGCCCATATGCCAAGCTTCTGCTTCTTCGTCTAAAGTGAAAACAACTTTCAGGTGTCATTTTCAGGAAGGGCATTGAAAAGATCGGCTTCAGGCTGATCTCTGAACACACCACGGTCGCTTTTGAATGTGTCATTTTTTAAAAAGTCACAGCGTGTCTGTTTTTGAGCAATAAACTACATGAACAAATTGTCTGGCATGCAATGGGAGTTTGGGGGAAGCCCTATATAAAGCACTTGGTTAGCGCTGGTCCGGTTTAATAGCTGGAATAGAGGGGGTGCGTGTACAAAACTGGGCACATCAAAGCTCGGGTGAAGAGATGGGGTATTTTCTGTCCGCTGAAATCCCTGACTCTCGGTGTTTGCAGGCTAGTTCTGTAAGTGGCTGAAAAGGGGAAAAATCCCCTGTGCTGGGTGGAAATGTGGCAGCTGGGTAGGAACCCTCCACTGGTTATTTAATCATCGGGAGCACATGCAAAGGACAATGGGAGAGTCAGCCCCACACTGGTTTTCTGCTCCGAAAATGAACTTTACATGAGTTGAACTGGTTTTATTCCTAGCCTCTGACCAGGCAAGAGACGTTCCTTCAGCCTCGGCCCGGGTGACAGGGCAGATCTGATACCGGGATTACAGTGGAATCGCAATTGCTGCAATAACCGTAATAAAAAATAAAGCCCCTTTAAAGTCCTCTCCTTTCTAGCCGCTCCGCAGCACGTTTGTAAAATAGCATTAAAGATTTATGCGGCCCCTTTGGCTACAAGGGGGGGAGGGGTCCTGAAAGTGTCCCGATTACAGCCGTGAAACCAACATCTGTGCTGGGAGGGGAGGAAAGCATTTCCTTCGTAGCCTGGGGCTGATCTGTGGGCTCTCTATCCACAGAGGGGAGGCAGGTGGCAAAATGTCATGGGGGGGGGGGAGGGAACACAACAAAAACAAGACACTTCCAACATAAATCAAATTAAAAAAAATACCCCCCCCCCCATCCCTGCCTCCATCCTGAGGCTGAAGGAAACACCAAGGGGTGCTATTATATTTCCTCTTCGGGTAACGCTGAGCTTTTCTGCTGTTTCCCGATGGAAGGGGAAATCAAGGAAGAAATGGCAAAATCTGCAAGGTTCACGGGGCTTCACTGCCCAGACCCCGCCCCGCCCAAAGTGAAACTTCGGTACTTACACGAATTTGTGCCACAACACTCACCCTCTAACTGCGGGGGACAGTGGAAGTAAAACATTGCCAGGAGCAGGGCAAAGGACGGCGGCTGTCCAGATCTGCGAAACAAACACCAAAGAGTCATTCTCCTGATCGGAGTAATACGGATTTCCCCCCCAAAAATTCAGCCAACCCCCTCCCCCCCTCACACAAAACAACTACAAACCCCAGCGGCGAGATTTCATCAGGCGGCAAATAATTATTAATGAACAGACAATAAACTGAGCGCTCCTATAGAAACTTAGTGGTGAGTCCTCACCCCATCTCAACAGTATCAGAAAATAATCGCCTCCAATACTGTATACAGTGATCTTAAAAGAAGAAGAGTTCATTGCTGGTGGACAGCATTCAGAACCAACAAAAGTTTCTAAATACTCTCTCTCTCTCTCTTCACAGATAAAACACGTACACAAAGGAGAACTACCTAGAAATACTAATGGATTGATTTTTTAAAAAAGTTATTTTCCAATCTAAACTATTCTGACCCAAGTAAATAGCAGTAAAACCTTCCATTACTCTAAAGGCTGTCTTCATTTCAAATGATCCAATCCACTGGAAGCTGCGTTCAGTTTGGGCACCAGTTTCCTTTTAAGCAAAATAACTCTTAAAATCTACATAGCGTGACATCCCAAATCCGGAAGGTAAATAATAAGAAAAAAAAATTCCATACCTAAAACAAACAGAGGTAAAAATCAGCCGTGAGATTTGGGGTGATTTTAATTGGAATAAGATGCTGTGAGTTGTTGGCTGCAGAGACAGAAGGGCTCTGCGGAGTTCTGGAAGTGGCCAGATGTCTTTATATCTGTCTACAGCATGCTCTGCCTCTCAGCACTTGCCTTTATAATCTCACGCATAATTGGCCTTAATCTGATTATTTCCAGCGCTGTCTACAGTGAGTAACTTGGATAGGTCTATTGGGCCCTACAAATGGCCCACGTGGTGTGTGGAGGAGGAAAAAAAAGCGTCATTTCTCAGCAAACATCAGGAATGTGAACAAAAAATCCCATTATTTTATATGCATTACGCTTTTACAGAGCTCCCCAGACCCTCTGTACATCCCCTTTGGGTTGCCCCCTTATTGATGGGAGTGGTGGGGGACTGTTAGTACTTGTGCATGGCACGATCACACAGCATCTTCCCCTGGATGCGGAGTCTGACAAAGCGCTTGTTAATTGCCCGCGGATGGGTTTTTGGGGCTCTGCTTTGCACACGTCTTGTCTTTCCAAGCGACCGTACCAAAGCAAAGTTTGATTTTGTTCACAGCGAGGGGTCTCTGGATTTATGCTCGCTTCCCGTCTGCGGCGGGACCCTTTGCAATTACTTTTAAAATGCATCCGAGACGTAGGCTCAGCGGAGAGAGATAGCCCTTCCCTCAGCCCGGGTGAAAATTAGACTTTAAAGTACCCAGATGAAATTTTCAAGTCAGGGACGCGGGATTGGATCAAATCACATAAACTGCAAAAAAAAGCAAGTATAATGGCGCATAATTGGTTCTGTAATAGCATTACACAAGGATAATGGCCTGTTATGGCCCCCTGCACTATTAAGTGCTTCCCTGGCGTAAAGCCTTTATGATATTAAAGGGGGAATATAATGATATTTTGGTTATTAAATGCGTGTAATTAATTTATGCACCACTGAAAATAAAGTTGGTATTATGACCCACTCAAGATGCATCAGAAGATGCAAGTCAGACAACTGTTGATAAGTTCTGGTGTCTATGTTTCGTCTAGACTACTGATTTTATTTTGGAACAATTGCTTCTTGGGCAGACTACACAGATTTAATATTTTATAAACACTGTAATGTTCTGTGCAGGAACAGCAGTAAAGGCGAACAAACCTACAGAAGCTCTCACAGACCTGGTGGGAGCTTAAAGACACAGCACGTTTAAAGACAAGCAAAGGAGATGGATGTAGATTGCACAGCTGCAGAAGCAGAGATAGATTTAAAACGAAGAGGTCTTTAGATAGTTAGTCCACATATATGATCTCATTAAATAAACACGAATAAGCCTTTGGAAATTCGTCTATACATCTGCTTTAAACAAGGCATGGATTTGAAAATTTCCCCAAAGAAGTCCCCCTAAAAGTCTGTTTCAGACTCGTTATTTGTAAAGCAGAACTAAAACAGATTGGATATGGAATCTATCTAACATGGTTATGATATATTTAGAACCTGCACGTGTTCTATCTTCCAAAGCACCCTCTGACAACATATATATCGCTGTTGACTTACCATCCGGGCAAGTCTCTACAGAAAACTGTATTATGAATTCGAGCTGGTTATTACAGGACCAGCCACCAATTCCTGCAATGGTCTAGTCCAGCCTTATCCTCAAAATAGCTGCAGAGGGTCATTTTTACCTTAAAAAGGGGGGAGAGAAAGAGGAAGAAGAAGAAGAAAACCCAACATTCAAAGCTGAATCTCTCATCTGCAGCCCCTACATCCACTGCTTTCAAACCCAATGGCAGGACTGGCACTGCAGGATCCCTATGCATGTAGACAGATGTGCCTTTTCCTTTCTCTCTGACGTCGTGTGTGTGTGTGTCGGGGGGGAGAGGACGGGGAAGAAAGAGAGAGTGTTTTATCATAAGAACTCCTAATAAAATAATAATAACTTCATTCTGGCGCTTTCAGGCCTTGCTCTTGTCAAGGGATGCATTGCTGTTTTGGCTCCAAGTCTCACTTTCCCCAGCGGTTTAGAGTCTGCAAGTTCAGCGTATTGCAGGAGGCAGAGCTGATCAAATGGAGCAAGGGTAAGTGCTCTAAGTTGTTTTCTTTTTAAATAGAACCAGAAGGATCTCTCGTTAAGCTCCCAGTTCATAACCGGGCGAGGCTGCCTTTTCTCCAAGAAGCAGCCGTTGCAAAAACAAGTAAGATGACTAAGCAGTATATAATTCCCCCACCCCTCGCCTGTTTAATTTTAATGCACAAAACGTATATTTGACATAATGCAAAGTTATATCTGATTGGAGTCTTTTTCTCCAGTGGTCAAAGTCATAAAGCAGATTCAAGTGGAACGATTTATTTCAGCACCTGGGACAGCGCCTTTGGTATCACACACAGCACAGCTCCAGTTGTAGCCCCAAACATTCCCTTCCTTCTCTTCATTAAGATCCCTTCACTGTCGCTTCGATTTAACACTGACAGGGGTAGCTGCCGGAAAGACTCTTTCTATATATCTCAGAAACTCCACATTACCTCTTGATTGTTCTCGTTATTTTCCTCCCAAGTTGGTGCAGCTGGAAAATATCTAGGAAGTTTCAGTAAGAGAGGCACTATCACCTCAGTATCAAAGACCAATGTTTTAAAAATCCAAGTGTAAAATAACATCTAAGTGCGCTAAAAAAATATTACAGCACAGCTCGCCTTTCCAGGGAAGTCAGGAAAACATATTACTTGTGGGTAGACTTTCTATTTTGCCGTTTGTGTTTGAATCTGATAGCAAAACTGTTTTTGTGCTGTAGGCGCCCACTCCCCATCCCCAACGCTATCCATGGCAGACTTAGTCGTTACAATAAATCTTAGACATGGATTGAACGGACCGAACAAAATCATGTGTGGAGAAAATCTTTTCCTTTGGAGATTTAAGCTTTGATTTGGCAAAGCTTTAAGAAACTCAGAGTGACCTAAGTTTGATGAAGCGGCTGCTGGCCTCTCGCTGTCATAAACACTTGCTTTCTAGGTGATGCTCAATACCTGGCCACAAAAAAAGGCTAGTAGCTAAAAGGTTATTTTACCTTAATTCATGTGCAGTAAAATGTATTTTCCAATTAACCAAATTTGCCGATTTGTCCCGCTTGGACACTCTTATAATTTATAATGTAAAAGTGTTCTTTCTTTAGCTAAAGACCAAGGTGACTGCTTTTAATTTTCTGTAACCTCTTTACACTTGATGTTCACCAGACTCATCATGTTAATTGGCTTCATATACGGATCATCAGTTTAATGAAGGAATAAATCCTATGTTGCTTTATGTCCCTCTGTTTTAACAGTGATTGCTTTAATGAAGAATGTGACGTGTTCAACATCAAAGCTGCAGGAGACATTAGAGCCTTTTTTATGATGACTGAAACGCTTATTTAAAGCTAAAACCATATTTCAAAAGGTTTTATTTAAATCACTTCCCATGGTAAACACACCGGGTTCTCTGGCCAAGAAAAGTTTCTCTTTCCTGCAGACACTAAGGGTAACACACCTCTATTACATATACACAGCCTAGTTAGGTTATTAACAATATTTCTGGCCTGAATTTATAAGGTTGCAGTCCTCAGTGAGTTCAAAGGGAGTTTTGCTAGAGAAAGGGTTACTCATAGGTGGTGAATATTTCTCTTTGTTATCCTGTTACTGTTTCATTGTTCAGATTTCAACTAAGGAGCAGATATCTTAATTCACATAAAAACTCTCCACATTGCTAGAGTCCCTTTCTCCTGGATAAGGATCTTAGAATTGGGAGTGGGAGGGTAAAGTCTAATGAAACATAGACTAATAAGGAAGCCTGCAAATCAGAGGGAGACCATGGAAAGCAGCAATAAGGTCAAGCAGTATATAGGTATGATAGGAGCTATAGGAGGTTTAAAAGGCACAGATTAAATGCACTCTGGTAATAGTATTCTTACATCCACTGACTGTGGAAGTAAACCTTGCTTTCTCTAATAGGAATTGCATATATTTTTCTCACATAAGGAGTGTTGTCTGGAATTAAAATATTTGCTCCGCAGCTAAGGCAGCAGGCAAAATATAAGGGAAAAGTTACTGTTTCAAAGTCTGGGCCATATCATATCCTCATGCAGAGTCCTTTCCCTGCCCCCCAAAGGTATTCTCAGAGCCCCAGATAGCTCCTGAGGAACCTGGTGTCTGAGGGAGCTGAGTTTGCCTCCCCAGGAAGCATTGTTCTTAGATCCTCCAGGGAATGCTCAGTGCAGAGTTCACAGCCTTCCATTCCATGTTCTGAGATCCTCAGAGAAATCAGGCAGAGTCTGGCATCTGTAGATGGCTGGGACACTAGTGCAGAGAGTT